CCACTGCAACCTGGTTTTTGTCTCTCAAACTGCTGAATCAGCTCTCCACTAATTGGTTCCAGAGAGTTGGTGCAGTCCGAATCTGCCGCATGGAGTCCTCCTCCTTAAAATGCTACATTTCCTTGGTTTTATGGGCATGACTTCACCTCATTCCCCTCCTGACATTGCTTCTCTGTCTCATTCATAGGTTCCTCTTTACTCGCCCCTTGACTATTGGTGTTCCCTAATGTGTTATTCTTGGATCCCTATTTTACCCAATGTACTGCAAATGACCTCAGTTTCCACATGCTCCCAGATATTTAGTTTTAGCTCTTATCTCTCCCCTGAGCTTCAGTGGTGCACGTCCAACTGCCCTGCCGAAAAGCTCAACCAGGATGTCCCACGCGACACGTATCTTAAATCAAAAGGCCAAGCTGGATTCAATAATCTCCCTAGGGGCGCCTGGGTGGCTCAGATGGTTAAGTGTTTGCCTTCAGCTTGGGTCATGATCCCAGGGTCCTGGGATCGAGTCCCACATCGGGCTCCTTGCTTGGCAGGGAGCCTGCTTCTCCCTCTGCCTGCCACTCCCCATTCTTGTGCTCTCTCTCTGACAAATAAATGAATAAATAAATAAATAAATAATCTTAAAAAAAAAACATCTCCCTAAACACGTTCCTCTTCCTGTTTTTCTGTCTGGACTGGCAGCGGTCACCCCACCTGGAAGCTTGAGAGTCATCTTTGGGTCACCTTTCTTCCTGACCCCCAGAAGCAGTCAGGTGTTGCCAAATATACTTTCTATATATTTCTCAAACCTGTCCCATCCTCTCCATCCCTCTTGCCTCTACCATAGTACAGGACTAAATCATTTCTCACTTGGACTAGTGTAATATTTCCTAAGAATATTGTCAGCCCACACCCAGTTACACCATCCCCCCACCTGCCTCCCCTCCAGCAACCCTCAGTTTGTTTCCTAGTTAAAAGTCTCTTATGGTTTGTCTCCCTCTCTGATTTCATGTTATTTTATTTTTCTCTCCCTTCCCCATGATCCTCTTTTGTTTCTTAAATTCCACATATGAGTGAAACCATATGATAATTGTCTTTCTCTGGTTGACTTATTTCACTTAACATAATATCCTCTAGTGCCAACCATGTCGATGTAAATGGTATGATTTCATCCTTTTGATGGCTGAATAATATTCCATTGTATATATATACCACATCTTCTTTATCCATTCACCTGTCGACGGACATCTGGGCTCTTTCCATAGTTTGGCTATTGTGGACATTGCTGCTATAAACACTGGGGTGCAGGTGCCCCTTAGGATTATTACATTTGTATCTTTGGGGTAAATACCTACTAGTGCAATTGTTGGATTGTAAGGTAGCTCTATTTTTAACTTCTTGAGGAACATCCATACTATTTTCCAGGGTGGCTACACCAGCTTGCATTCCCACCAACAGTGTAAGAGGGTTCACCTTGAGAGAGAGAGTATCTTAAACAAGCTCGACGTCCAGCACAGAGCCCTCGCAGGTCTCTGTCTCACAACAGTGAGATCATGATGTGGAGATCATGACCCGAGCTGAAATCAAGAGTCAGACACTTAACCAACTGAGCCATTTGAGTGCTGCTAGCCATGTCACTGTCTTAAAAATAAGTTTTGGGGCGCCTGGGTGGCTCAGTTGGTTAAACATCTGCCTTCAGCTCAGATCATGATCACAGGGTCCTGGGATCAAGCCCTGCATTGGGCTCCCTGCTCAGTAGGTTGTCTGCTTGTCCCTTTCCCTCTCCCTCTGCCTGCCACTCCCCCTGCTTGTGCTCTCTCTCTCTGTCAAATAAATAAATAAAATCTTTGCAAAGAAAATAAATTTCAATGCCTCCCCAACTGCCTAGTGAATTTCTTTTATTTTTTTAGAACTTTTTTTTTAAGATTTTACTTATTTATTTGACAGAGAGAGAGACAGCGAGAGAGGGAACACAAGCAGGGGGAGTGGGAGAGGGAGAAGCAGGCTTCCTGCGGAGCAGGGATCCCGATGGGGGTCTCGATTCCAGGACCCCGGGATCATGACCTGAGCCAAAGACAGACGCTTAAGGACTGAGCCACCCAGGCTCCACTGCCTAGTGAATTTCTTGGTTGCTAAATGAGACCCTTCAATATCTGACATCTATCTATTTCTCTAGTTTCAGTTCTTGCCACCCCTTGGCTGCAGTTACTAGCACTTACCTATTTTTGCTCACAATGTTCCATTGTCCAGAATATCCTTCCCTTCTCTACTCTTTTGGTTTAATTAACATCTAATTATTTAAGACTCCTACTAAGCACTATCTTTTCCACAAATCTAGCCTGATCCCCTCAAACAAGATCAGGTAATCCTCCTCCAGTCTTCCACGATTTCCTCTGGCTTGACCATATCCCTATTATATTTTATTGTGATTGATTTATAATGGTTATCTCTCTCATACATCAATTCTTTCACTGAATTAATTTATTCAACAAATATCTAGAGTATCTACTATGTGTCAGTTACTTTAAACAATGGTATATGAGCGGGCACCTGGGTGGCTCAGTTGGTTAGGCGACTGCCTTCGGCTCAGGTCATGATCCTGGAGTCCCTGGATTGAGTCCCACATCAGGCTCCCTGCTCGGCAGG